TTTTTTGACCCTCTAACTCTAGCACTCTCTATTCTAATTCTATTCTTAAAAAACACTAGCTTCTCTATTCTTTTTGTATTCTATCTATTTGTTTTCTCTTTATTTAATATACAATTAACAAAAAGCAAAAAAAAGGGGCCTCTAACATTTGCTTGCTCTATTCTTTTTCTATTCTATCAGTTTTCTTTTTATTTATTATATAATTTTAAAAAACCTTGCTACGTGTACTGCGTTAAGCTAACTGAGACTTGTTATAGCACTTGTATATCATTGCTCTTTTGTTGATTTTGATTGCTTCCATTGTCCTCATTTGTAAGTCGCTTTGGATAAAAGCATCTGCTAAATGACTAAATGTAAATGTAAATGTTTTAGAAGCCATCCATATATTGATATGGTACATATCAAATCAGAATTAGTCATAATTATTTTATTACACATGTTATTCTCTTTTATCTTTCGTTTTCCCTTTATCTAGCTGCCATATGGAATAAACCTAAATCCATGAGTTTTTTAATTGTCTCCCCAAAGTAAATGGTTGGTGAAGAACAGTGAAGCTTTTTAGTCCCTTGAAATTGGTTCAAAACAAGATTTTTGTTTCAAAGTCTAGATAGAATTGTTTTATTGTTATACTGAAAAGTTGTTTAAAAAATGTAATTCTTCTGACATCCAGCCAACAAAGTTCAGAACAGCATGAAGTCTTCATTACAGCCATTTTTTCAGCTTGTATGTAGCATCGCTATGCCCCTAGACAGCATGGTGACTCTTCTCACATTTCCTGAAAGCACTGACTGCATTTGTTTGTCTGTCTGAAGGTGAAAATGTTGCATGATGCAACGCAGTCTATTAGCTGGTTGTGTGTGGGATTTAGACCAATGAGATTGCATTGTGGGTGGGGCTACACAATGTGACGCCACATAAATAGAAACCAAGCAACTGATCAAATTTTGTCACTTATCGCAGCCAGAGCTCATTTAGACATCGATATGAGCTGCTAAATTACTTTAACTGCATAATGAGATGTCATGACAGTTGTTTGAATGTTTGTTTTTGTGTATCTGCACTTATGGCACGTTACTTAAAGTCTGTAAAAACTAGCTGACTAACAAGGACATAGTAAATCAGATAATTAGCCCATGCTGTAACCCTGAAATGCAGCAAGTAACACAATTTGCTAACCCTTTTGTTTTTGTTTTGAAAATGAGTGTAATATAACAGCGCCGTGACTCTAGTGTTCTTCATTAAAACTGGATTAAGAACAGCTCAGAAGGTGATATTGTGTCACATTGTGTGTCCTTCATTAGGACGGCATAATAAAACTTTAATCCAAGGTTTACTTCTAACTTCCAAAAAGCAGAAAAGTAAAACTCAGGAAAATCAGGTCATATTTGACCCCAAAATCAAATTAACAAAAAATAACTAAGTAATTATTTTAGAACAATTTAACATTTTTTTATTTTAAAATCTGATGATCCATAATAGGATTTCTTTAAAAAATATGTATATACTATGTTGTATGACTTTTTATGCAAAAAATAAATAAAGACACTTCAACACATTTACATATCATAGCACAGGTATATTTGTAGCAATAGCCAAAAATGCATTGTATGAGTCAAAATTATAGATTTTTATTTTATGCCAAAAATCATTAGGATATTAAGTAAAGATCATGTTCCATGAAGATATTTTGTAAATTTCCTACCATAAATATATTAAAACTTAATTTTTGATTAGTAATATACATTGCTAATGATGTACAAATCTCAATTTTGAAAAATTGACACTTATGACTGGTTTTGTGGTCCAGGGTCACATATGTATATTATTCTTATATATATTGATTTGTATTTGGGGTGTAATATGGCCAGGTTCTTGACAGATTTTATGAGATTCACCCTGAAAGGCCTTGTCTTGAGCCTAAAGCCCTTTCTGTGTTCTTCTATCAGTATTCTGCTGCGCTCTTCAGACACCATGTTGTGTGATGCATTAGTTTGGACTATCATCAGAGCTGGAGGATTTTTAACCAGCCGTTGTTGTCCTCTGGTCTCCTTGTTGTTGTGTTATGAACAGTGGCAGTAATTCCCTTATGGATTTGTGGAGATGCAGAGGACAGGCTGTTCTCACAGTGCTGATGCATCTTCTGTCATTGCATCTAGAGATGTCTGTGGCTCTTTCAGGTGAACAGAATCAATCCAGTCGAAATATGGACGTTTCTATAACAGAAGCTATTGTAAGGCTTGTGTATAGATAGTCTTTGATGAAAAGATTTGCTTAGATGGTTAGTGCTGATGGACAAGTACAACCAAGCTGTTGAACAAGGTGGTGAAGTTGTTCAGACAGCATCTCTGTGATGAACTGGTCAGCCAAATAAGTCTCGATAGTTAACCTGTTCATCTTCAGCCCGATCATTTTGATCAAAACCAAAGAAGTGTCATATTCAGACTAGATCAAAACAACAGCATCTCTGTGATGAACTGGTCAACCAAAGAAGACTTGATAGTTAACCTGTTGATCTTCAATCCTTCGTTTTTACGAAAACCTAAAAAGTTGGTTGTAGATCAAAACTTATTTATACTAGGGGCCCTAATTTGATCTTTCTTAAAATATGACTGAATTAAAGTGAATTAGGTTCTTGCTGATTAAACAATTTGGCCCATATGACACATGCTTCAACCAGGATGAATTTATTTTTTTTAAATCTGCTAGAGTGTGTCGTTTTCGAGATATTTGTCACTAGAATTGTAGCTTTTTATATGTTAAAATCACTTGTTGTGGGGGCGCAGGGTCAACATAACCTTTCACCAGGGCCGTTATTGTTGCATATGTTAGTAATAACACCGGTCTGTTATGAAATGTTTAACTTCTGATGGTTAAGTTGCTCAATGTTCTGATTGACGGTCTGATTCAACATTGCTTGTTTTTTTCGGTTCTTTTCAGTTCTAAATCAACATTTAAAGCATAGCATACATTCTTGCATCACACACTTTGACTAATGATGTTCCTTCCTACCTGCAGCTCTCCACAAAGACATGGGCTCCTGCCGAGCGGCCATCATCACCGGCACCCTCTCCCGCATCTCTCTCAATGATGAGGAGGAAGAGAAAGGTCCCGAGGGGCTCAATTACTCCACGTTGCCTGGCAACATCATGTCTAAAGTGATCATCCAGCAGCCCTCTGGACTTCACATGTCCATGGGCATGGGCGATCTGGGAGAGCAGTGTTTGGACAGCACGGCAGACATGCGGCGAACCGTATACCTGTGTACAGATGACACCACCAGGCAGAGCGAGCAGGAGCTGAGCGGTCACCCCCAGCCGGGGCAGATGGAAACGGACTACATGGTCCTGCCTCGCAGTTCTGCGGCCGTGGTGTCGGGGGCCGGGTCCAGCAGCGTTCCCACCCTGCTGAAGGAGGACAGCAAGATGAGCATGACCATGGACTCTCTGTCACACGACAGGTTGATGCATTACAAGATGGGCGCAGAGTTTAACCTCGGGCCCTCGGGGATGGAGCACATGGGAATGGAACAGCAGTACTCTGTCCAGGCAGAACACATGCACAACTTGCCCTTTGAGCCACGCACGGCTGTGAAGAACTTCCTGGCGGAAATGGAGGAGAGCGGAGGACTGTCTCGAAGCGAAACCGGTTCAACTATATCGATGAGCTCTTTAGAGGTGCGACTTTGAGTCTAGACAGTTAGAAGTAAACTCTACACTAGTACATGAACACAGATGCTTCTAGCTCCATGAGCGTGATTTTACTCAATGTGCACCGAAATGTGTCGCAATGCATTTTTAGTGTTGCCACAAGTGCGTTATAGTGGGTCTTCTATACTGTCAGTTAGAAAATCTTAATGTGTAATGCCCTAATATCTTAATCCCCCAAATGAAGCCAAAGACAACTGGCAAAAAAAGAAAGTTTAACCTAAAGATGTTGATGTTCAATCTGCAAAGAATTGAAAGTAACAACATTTTGTTTTCTTTTATATTTTGACATCGTCAGCAACCAATAGATGGTTCTATCCATAGGTTGTTGACTGGATGGAGGCAGATCTGAATGCAAACTTGTTATGAAAATTGAAAATTGAGTTATGACAATTTGTTTAAAAATTACAGTATTAAAAAAATGCAAAAATGCATAGATGATTTTTCAGTAAGATCAGTAACGTACATTTAGAAACTTTTATTTCATGCCAACTTTAAAAGGATAGTTCACTCCAAAAATGAAAATTGTCTTCAGTTACTCACTCTCATGTCTTTCCAAATCTGTATGACTGACTTTGTCTTGAAGAACGCAAAACAAGATGTTTCGAAAAATGTTTTTATTTGTTGTTTAGACCCCAGCTTTCTTGACAGTATCTTCTTTTGTGTTAAATATGTCCAGCGAGACCAAGCATTTGTGCCTGCGTTTGCGTACTTCTTGTAGACTGGCCTTTAAGATCATTGCAGAGTCATTGTAAGACATTTCAACCTCTCATCATTACTGAAATTTTGAAAAGCACTGGTATCGACCGGCTGGCTGCCTTGAGGGGAAAATACATTTGAACCTGATCCATTTTCTTCCAAAAGCCTCAAGGCATGCAAGTCTAGCTCTGGTGCGCAAGAAACATACTTGCTTATATACAGTGCTGTGAAAAGGTTTTTGCCCCCTTCCTGTTTTTTTAATTTTTTGCATATTTGTCACACTTAAAAGATTCAGATCATCAAACCAATTTTAATATTACGCAAAGATAATGCAGGTTTTGTCCTGTTGCAAAGTTCTGGTTCTCAGCTTGACTGAACTCCAAATCCCACCCCCCTTCCCTCCCCTCCCACCCTTGCCATTACAGAAAGTCATGCACACCAGGAAAAGGCATATGGAGCTGTTCCAGGAACTCAATCAGAAATTTCAAACCCTGGACCGATTTCGAGACATACCAAATATGGGCGGCATGGTGAGTAACAGGATACGGGGTTCAGTGTGTCTCATTACAGAGTACCGGGGGGTGCCGCGTTGTCTATGTTTAGCTGTGTCTACTGGTGGCGCCCCAGTCTTGTGCACAGGAAGTGAGTGACTGAAGGAATTAATAGTTATCCACCCAGTGTATTCAAGTGGAAAAATAGCACAGCCGCCTGCTCCGGGGAGGGGGGCGGTGGAAGAGGAGATGAGAGAGGAAGAAGAGAAGAGGAAGAGCGACTGAGCCGTCATTGTGATCCATGCTCATGCACTCATTCAAACACAAGGCACAAAACACAAGGCCATGAGCTGCTAACATGCTTATTATTTCCTTTTCTATTGGCTAATCGCTGCTTGGCGAATGCACGGGACAAAAAACACTTGATTTGCTTCAGATATTGGAGAGCTTCTCTGTGCTTTCCGCAGTACGATGCACCAATTATCTGTAATTGTAAGGCCGGTGGGATTGTTTGATTGGAGCAGGCCAATTGCAACAATCACATTTCATCATCCAGCAGCATGCAGCAGAGGAACGTTCAGTGTCGTTTGGCGTCCAGCTGACTGGCACTGTGAGGTTCACTCTGATCATCAATTAACAGATTTTTAGACGTGTTTTTTAATTAGCTCAGCCTCGGTATAGTGGCCTACAATTCATCTCCTGCTATTACAGTAGCATGCATTTTCAGTGATTGGATCCCAGTTGAAACCCTCTCGACCTCGATGAAAGCCAGTGCACTTAAGACGCATTGTGATCGGATGACTGAAAATACAGTACATTTTGATTCTATTCGATGCTGGTGGTAAATGTTAATGTGGTCTTGCGATCTGGTCACCTGATTTAATGATTTATTCCACTTTAGACTGTTAATCCAATATAGATTCACAAACGTTATTTTCTCCCTTTTTATTCACTTGTAATCCCCATTAGCATTAAGAATGTTTCTAAAGTAGGAAATCGACTGAATGCCTTTTCTAAGCGGTCAACATAACGGAAAGCATTTCGATTCAATGTAAATGATGGAAATTTCTGTTTAATGCAGCCTCTAAAAGTGGCATTTCCATATCGTGCAGCTAAGTGCAATCAGATGCAAGTGGCCAGATACGATCCTGATACGAAATGCATGGCTAACACTTTACAGTGAGGCGCTATATTTTAACATTAACTAATGCATTCATGAACTAACAATGAAATGGTGCGCTACTGCATTTATTAATCTAGGCTAATGCTAATTTCTACATTTCAAGTCATATAAATTAGCATTAATGTATCATGAAAGAACATGAATTGCCAATGAACAATAGTATATTAATAAATGAACCAAAACTATGAAATTGGTGGATTCCTAATTCAAGAACCCTAATGCATTAGCTAAAGTTAACAAATAGAAATGCATGTTGATGTCAGGTGTATATTCATGTAGTCGAAGCAGCTGGCGACGTGTCCCTTTGGCCACGTTACTTCCCTTTACCCACGTTCAATCAGACTGCAGAACTTTGCCATCCACTGCCTGTTGCTTGGTAACCACTGGAAGAAATGATTCTGTGTTTTTATTCCCTTGAAAAATCTGAGATGTTCCTGAATCTGGAAACACCCCAAACATGCTGTTAGGTCAAATACTTTGATTATTGAGCACTGGATGTGTATGTGCAGCGGCTCCAAAAACGTATTTTTGGGACACAGATGTATGAATGTCATTGTGTTAGTTAACAAAATATAACAAGCCAAGTGACATATATATATATATATATATGTATATTTAAGAAAGGCCATCATTTGGTTTGATATTTTTTATCTAATGGGGTGACTTTCATACAGTGTCCAAATATTTTTAGGGCCGAACATGAGAACATGAATTAAAGCTTGATGATTCATGTCCATGTGCAACTTCCAATGTCTGACAGTGTCACAAAACGAGGCGCTGTAACGAGAAACCATATTGAGAATATTGCAGAAATGCGATATTTCTAACACGGCGGCTTCTCGTCCTTTTCCGTAGGACAAGGCAATGCCAAACAAGAACCCCTGGGAGAGCTTCAACCCGCCAAGTGAATATCAGAACTACGCCACAATGAATGTACTAGAATCAGACACAAAGAACTCTCTGGAGATGACTAACGCTGAGTGGGAAAGGTGTATCAGCCTCCCTTTGGACGTCCAGGAGGGAGACTTTCAGACAGAAGTCTGAGAATTAATGAAGCGTTAGCGGGGACGCGGATGAAGGTGGACATATTTTGCACTGAACAAAAACGCGGAAGACTTCTCATGCAGCCTTGGAAAGACGTATATGGATTCTTGGAGTCTAGCAGGGACAATATGTGCCAATAAGATTTTAAAACAAGGACGGACCGACGGATAAAAAGACGTTAGAAAAAGACAAAAAAACATCTGTGTTATCTTTTTTTTTTGTATTCTCACTCGTGTATTTAGTGGGGGGCAGACATGTACAATATCGAACATCATGTGTTTCAAAAGTAACCAGTTGGAAAATAATCGGTTCCAAAAGCGTTATCTTTCCAGATGAGACCTCGAGGAGAAAAACGACACGTGACATGACGTCCACCCACGAGCGGCGGCTGGGTTCGGTTTTTTGTTCGGCAGCAGACGAGCCCGGGAACACAATGTATATACTTGCGCAGGTTTTTAAAAAGTTTATAACAAGTCCGTTTGGCCATTACTACACTTTTTACTTTATAATATGAAAAGACAAAACTATTCAGAGGCAAAGAGGATTTTTTTCTGTCATTTAAAAATGAATGTTTGTCAAGCTACATTCTTCATTGCTTTAAATGCAATAAAGGTAATACTCACTTTTTTATGAATAATATATTTCAAAACTTTAATACTGCAGAATCTGCCTGGAAGCTCAGTAAAGCTCTCTCATCTGCAGCCCTGTATAAAATATTTAAAAATCAAAAATGTTGTATGGTGTAAATAAAACTTTTGTCTACATATGTTTTACTTGTGCCAAGTTTATTTTAATGAGAAAAGAGAAAATGCCAACTTGATGAGAGTTATAGCGAAAAATGTTAACATTTGAAAAAGGAATGTAAATAAAAGAGGAAATATGTTCGTACTGCTTCAGAGAACTTGTCGACTTACTCCTGTGTCGTGCTGCGTGTCTCTTTTCTGGACACACCAATCTCTGTGGATGTCCTCTCGTTCTCAAGGCCCTTCATTCAACAGCGGCAGAAAAATGCTCTGTAATAACAAATAACAACAGGGTATTTTTATCGGCCATTAGTGGAAAGGAGGAGACGTGCACGGCGCTGGCTATTAAAAATAGCACAGCGGAGCTAAAAATAACAGGAAGTGTAGTCACTTCGGGCTAACGGCGCGTCGCATATGGCGTACCTTATGTGCGATTACGCTATCAGCCGAGGAGCTGACAGGATACAGAGAACTGAACCAGAAATACTACCAAAACCTCTTGGATTTTAAGACAAGTTTACAGTTTAAATTGGGTTGTTTTCTGTTTTTAACGGTGCATTCTTCCAATCCCTCAAAACATCAACAAATTTTCTGAATTTGGAGGCAAAACGGTTATATCTTTAGCATGAGGCTGATAGTGTTTGTTCATATTCGTGTTATTTGTACAACAGCCAACGCAAAGAGGCTCTTTCTCAACAGAAAAGTAGAGCTCACCTGTCAAAATACAGAATACAGAATTCCAAATACAGAAAAGGCCGTGCTGTCACGTACCGCCGCTACTTATAGACCTGCAGCTCCGGATGACGTCAGGAGCATCTGTTTAGCGCTATAACTCATCCTCTAACATTTACTGTTTTAGAAATCTAGTGTGTCATTATGCATTTCACACAATGACATTGTGTCTACAGACTCGTGTCATGACTCACACACCTTGTCAGTCACAGAGGCCGTGATTCAGTCACGTCAAGCCGGACCTCAACAATACAATATGGGAGATAATTGTGGAGCTCACTGGGATTAGATTTAATACTTTTGCCAGATATGACTGGACGCTCACTGATGACAGATGGGACAGAAAAAGCGGTTCCAAAGGGATTATATTCCTAAACTTCAGCTTACATTGTGAGATGGGCCTCAAGTGCTGTCATCTCATCTCATATATATATATAATTATTATTATTATCAACAACGTTGAAAAGTTTTGCTGCTTGATATTTTTTTGGAAAAGGTGATACAATACCATTCAAACATTTGGGGTAAGTATGACTGAAGACAAAAAAAGAAAACAAAAATAAATGTATACTTTTATTTATCAAGGATGCATGAATTTGGTCGAAAGTGGCAGTAAAGGAAGACATAATGTTACAAACAAATATATTTTAAATAAATGTTGCATAAACTTTATATAAACTTTAGAATCCAAAAAAAAAAATGTATCACAGTTTTCACAAAACATTAGCACATTTTTTTTTCCAAAATTGATAATAGTAAGAACCATTATTAATAATTGCGCACCAGATAATCAATCAGAATGATTTCTGAAGGATCATGTGACACTGAAAATTCAGATCACAGGAATAAATTACATTTTAAAACATATTGAATTAGAAAACAGTTATTTTTAATTGCAATAATATTTCACAATTTTACTGGCTTTACTGTATTTTTGTTCAAATAAATGCAGTCTTTCAAAAACATTTAAAAATCTTAATTTTTCCAAACTGGTAGCCACCAGTGCAAATATGATAAAAAGACAGAAAACTGAACTTTGCAAAGTTTCGATGATTCACTCAGGAACTTATTTAAAGTAATGTACTTAAGCAATTTATCAGTTGTCTCAAACACAGTAGAAAATGTGAAAAACAACTTGACATGCTCATGTAACGCGATTTTTAGTTTAACTTTGGAGAAGATTGCAAACTAATGGTGGATATTAACAGAAAAAGCATTCATTAGTGCACAAATGTTGACCTCCGAGGTCAGAAAACACAGTAATGAGATGTAGAAGAAGAGGCGGGTAGTACTGACATTGACTGGAGATGTCACCGTATTAAAAATAATAAAGCACATGAGACAAGCCCATTATGACAGCGACCAAACACGATGACACACATGCAACGGATCCCAGGCCCTGTTCTCCGTTCTCCACGGCTCAAATGAAATTACGTTTGTCCTCTTCTGTTCTTCAATGTGCAAATCAAAATGTCAAATCCATCACATTACAGGCCGGCGGGAAATCACGGCAAATGAAATTCAGCACGCGCACAGTGAGCGGGCCCTGGTGGGTGCTTGTGAGTCCAGCAGGGGACACATGGAGAGGTGGATCAGACTCATCTCTGACAGACATGCAGGAGAGGGAATTGAAGCGTATGTCAACACAGACTCTGTATTCTCACTGGTGCTCAGATTACAACTTCCATTTATGATCAGAAGGGACCGCTGTCAGTGTGAACACGCAAAACAATGTCCAATGGAGCATTTGATGCTATATTTGTTGTGTTGTCTCACATTCCAGAATCCAGATTATTTTAATGGAAAGCTAGGAAATAAACTCTTAAGCTTGGCCATACTTTAAGACTTCATTTGCAGTTTCCTTGTTATAAATGAAATTGGTTGTTTGGCATGTGTTTTATTATTAAAAGAAGTAATAATGAATAGATAAGTATTACTTGTAACTGGTTACAATTAATAATTAAATCATACTATGAATTATATGGTGCATTACAAGGCATAATCAAAATTAATTTATAATGCATTACATATAAAGGCTTCAAATAAAGTCAAAATAATATTAAAATCATGAAGTCGAAATCAAATTAAACATCTGTAATTGTGTCTTAACATAAAATGTGTGTGCGTATATATACACACACATGTAATTTATTAAATATATATAATAACCTTTGTAAAAGGGTTTGAAATTATGAATGAATTCATTCATCTACATGGTGTAAAAACTGAATGAGGAAAAATGAAAGGATCCAAATGATGTTACTTCCTGGGTTTTGTATTTGTATTTTTATTATTATTATTGTGAAGACAGACATTTGATGCGTTTAAACCACACTGAGTTAATCACATGCAAGATTAAGTTTATCTAAGGAAATTGCACCTGATTCAGAGAAAGTGATGTTAACAAGCAAACGTTCAATAAACAGTTTGTTTTATTACATTTATTTAATTATATAATTATTTAAAAATAGTATATCGTTATTTATAAGAAAAATACATTATTATATATTTTTAAATATTTGTTGCAATATATTAAAAATAGCATATAGTTATTTATAAGAAAAATTTATATATTTTATATTAGTATAATATTTGGGTAGCTGTACTGCTGTAAGGGAATGTGGCTGTGGTTTCAGAACCATGGACAGCAGCCTGTTGTGACCCCAAACGTATTTAGACATTTGTAATTGCGCGGCACGACAAATCCCTGACAGAAAACTGCTGCTGCGTTCTATTCATGACGTATTGGCACAAATTTCAAATGATTTTCAACGGTTGCTTTGTCGCGTCCAGTGTACTAGACAGACTTTAGCTGTTGCGGCGCAGAACCGGTGGTACTCACCTATCGAGAAGAAACAAAGCAACCTCTGCGTCCGATCGCAGGCCTTCCGCTCCTTGAGTTCTCTCCAGCGCTGGAAAGCTGATCCGATATTTACACGGGTCCTACTTCTTGCCTTATTGCATTAAGCCCGCTTTTGTTCCGCAGAGGTTTTCCTCTTTTGTTTTTTATCTGCCATCTCTATCTTTCTGTCGCTCGGCTCACTAATGTCCGTGCACTGAATGCTCTCTCCTCCACATCATGAGTAGACACGCCCTTACTGCTGATTGACTACAAGTTTGTTTTGCTACTCGGTCCGAATCAGTTCTCTAAGCGTCTTTGAAAAATCGCTTACCCCACCTTTAATGTCATTGCATAGATAAAATATTTATTTTGAAGAAATGTTGCAAAAATTTTAGTCTGACTTGAATACATTTTGGGGTCACTGTATATGAAAACCAATGGCAAATTGCATAGTTGCACACCACAGCTTTGCATACTATGCATGGTGTCATAAGTTGAAATCTTACATCTAGAATAGCTTGAACACTGGCAAATAATTGAATTGCTTTTGCTTTCTCTTTAGGAGTCAGATTCTGTAATGCATGAAGAACAAACGTTAGCCTGATCAGGAATGAAGAATTAATGGGTAAATTATCCTACGGAGAATAAACTGCAGTGGCATCTAGTCTGCAGGCCATGCTATATTCAGCTGATACAGTTTGAACCGATTCATGTAAATTAATCTAACTTAAGCTATTTTTGCTTGTGAAGTTTAAATCTGAGATGCTATCAAAGCATCTTTCTTTCATAAGCCACTGATTCAGGTGTCCTATCAAACAGTCTGCTATGAGGGCATAAACATTCATTACTCTACTGAAGTACATACTGTAGTTAGGGGACATTCAATTATTTCAATAAACACTGCAAGTCCCAAGATGTCCTCTAATTGCTTTGAAGTAGAGGCTTCTGCTAATGGCTCCCTGTAGGATGAGTTGTGTTTTACTCAGCTGTACGACTCCCCAGCTGCCAGCAGCTCCTTATGGACA